AATAATGGAGGAAAGATGAACAAACATGAGGTCAAATAAAAACGTCAGCCCAAATCTGGACGGCCTGATAGGAGTAAAACCATAAGAGGTGCTTCCTGCCTGTTACTTCCAACCTGATGTGTGAACGGGTGTGTGTTTAAGTGAACTTGTTTAGTTACACTGTTCAACCCCCAGAGTGTTTTAACTGCAGAAAATAGCCTCCAAATAGGAAAAATGCTCCCTTTTCAAAGGATTACATAAATTTGCCTTCACCTTCGTTTCCTTCCATCCTGCTCACACGCGCTTCTGGTTTTTATGACTCATGTAGAAACATTAATTAGTACTTTGTTATCAGAAACCGCCCAGAGCCTTTAATATCTCCGTCTGCAGTCTTTCATAGTCAAGTCCGCTCCGCCTTCCTCCCCTGAGAGACATTAAATCGGTCATTCCTTCACTGCCTGTGCCTCTCTGGACTGCTAATAGGGATTAAAGGGTAATTGAGGCTTAATTGAATAAAAGATTCGGATATGCTCTCGGATGTTATTTCTTTGTACTTTTGTTTTTTTATTGGACTGTTTCTTGGAAATGACAGTCATGTGATGTTGTGGCCTGCAGCAGGAAGTATTTCCACATCTCAGTGGGTTGGAGCGTCTTGATTAGGAGGCTTCAGGCAGCTGTTGGATATTTTAATCTTTTAAGCAAGATTGTTGCTTATTATCTGAAAAATATTCAGTTTATTTTACTCAGACTTTAAAATTATGCAGTTAATGTTATGATGAGCATCTAAGGAAAAATGAAAAAGGTAGGCCGACTCTTATTTGGAGGAAAAAACTTGTCTTTGACTCGGGTTTAAAGGGCAAACAATTAACTTAAAGAGCAAGTCACCCCCAAATCAACTTTTTTTTTGCTGATAAACTAAATAAGCAAGTGTCTAATTGTGCTGCAGACATGTGTTGTCAATAATTTGGCACTTCAGTGCATCTTAGTTAAAATTTAAATATTTTGCTTAAAACTGGCAGTGATGTGCCGTTGTCAGGTCAAAACTCTGCACTGTATTTGAATTTAAAACTGCCACTGCTATTCGCTAAGAGGTATGCTATGATGTAAACTGGTAGATTATGATGTCACAATGCTGTTGTGAACCTGTGTGTGTGTATTTGTTAGCGGCTCCGCCCTCTCGGTCTGCTAGGCAATGGCATTCGTTGCATTTTTCAAACATGAAGTGGGAGTGGAATTAGACTCTGGTAGGGGGTGACTTGCTCTTTAAACCTAATATTATAATTTAAATAGTATTTTTTCTCAAATAAAATAATAAACAAGAACCATGGATTAGTTTATCTATGCTTATCATATTTATGAATCATATCCTTCATTCATAGCTCATCATCACCAGCCTGTGAATGTGTGTGTGAATAGGCGGATGATGGATTGTGTTGTAAAGCACCTTGGGGGGTTGTAGAACCCCAAGAAGGCTCTACACAAATACAGGGCATTTATGGAGTTGTAGCTACTTTAAACACGTTTTTTGCAATCTGTTGCAACTTGTAATATGCGTTGAAGGGCTTGTTTACTGAGAAACTGCTTGTTTGTTTTTAAATACAATTGGTCACACTGAGATGCATTTTCCTGCTGAATGTTCTTCAACCCCTGTTGTCTGTGTTTGATGAAGAAAGGAACTAATTATCCGCTCTGAAACAATCTCTTCTATTTCACGGAACTAGTATTCAGGGCCCTGCCCACCTCGATGTGACTGAGAGCAGGGCATGTCTCTGCAGGTAGAAGCTAACCATTAGGAATCATCGATGTTGCAATATTTACTCAAGAATGAAAAGCGACAAATGGCAAAAGATGTTGCTGTTGACCAATCAGAGGCGTTTGCATATGATGAAAATTAATGAGCAACACTCATAACCCTGGGGTTCCCCCCCCCCCCCCCCCCCCCACTCCTCCTACAAGAGCGGCAGAGCTTTGTTTCCCCAGTTGCCACCCTTTTTCAGTACCAGTGTGGTTGTAAACTAGATCATTTAAGCCAAAAACATGTTTTGGAACCAGGCTGTAAACATGTTTATTTCTGCTGTGAAATTGGTATTTTTAACATGGGAGTCAATGAGGATTTGCTCGCTTCTGATACCAGCCCCCAGCGGATGAGGGTGGAACTGCAAATTTTCTTACTTCCGGGTTGGACTCAATTTTAAAGCCACATTGTGGGGGCTTGGTTGCCACCCCTTTCTACGGTGAGCCCACCCACCAAAGCCAATATTCAGTTGTAATGCTAAACCCCCACCAACAGTGTAAAGCAGAGTCGAATCCAGTTGAGTTCAGCGATGCTGAGAGGTGGAAACACCACGTATCTGGACGTTTTTAGGCCAGGAGCTGCTGAGCCAGCTGTAGCGATTAATCTACATACTAGAATCAACGCTGTTGCTATTCAGCTGGAGATTCTGAGAATGACCAATCAGATTAACCTGTGAGGCTTAGATCGTGTATAAATATCCCGGATACTTATATAATCGATCTAAGTTCATACCCCAACCTGTTTGGTCCAATTTTAATCCAAAGATTAATGTTTAATTTAGGTAATTAAATTTAATAGCAAAAGTTTAGTTTGAATCAGAATCTAGGAATCTTTGCTTTTCAATAACCAGAAATATTATACTTTTTCTGTGTTTCAATTCAATAATGAGGCAAGTTTAAAAATGAAGAAATTTTATTACTAACAATTTTAAACTTAAAGATTTGAACGACAATTATAACGACAATTCATGGATGACAATTTAATGACAATTTTAACAGCTTTGACATTAAACTTGTTTTACAAGGCAAACCTGTGGCTGGTTGGGAGCTAAATTGAAAATACGAGTTTGGATGCGTGAGTGAATTTCTCAGAAGATTTCTTTCAGAGAGAGAAAAGGCGTTCTGGATGGAAATTATGTTTTGCAGCTACCTGAGTTTTTACTTAGAGAAAACAGCATCAAACGCATTCTGTGTGCTACCTCACCCAAACAGGAGACCCTCTTGTGGATCCAGAGGTCAGGAGGAAGGTATTTCGTCCAGGGTACTCGGTCCGGCAGAGAAGACGCGAGAGAACCGACCCTCTGGTCCAGAGATGTCGCCGGGTACACAGCGTCGAGCGTTTGGGCTTAACTGTTAGAAGTTTCTCGTCTTAACTCAGAAGTCAATAACTCTGTAAGGAGTTTTTTCATCAGCTGGTTACAGTTTACTTTTATTCTTGTCGGTGTGACAGAACAGCTTGGCAGAGGGTCAGGGCGGCCGTCCCGTCTCCTCAGGATGATGTTGGTTCCAGAACCGAACGTGAAGCTGGTGATGGTTAGTTCACAAAGCTCTCAGAACACTCCCACTCCCTCAGCAAGAAAGCTTTGGTCATTCGTCAAAAACACGTGTTGGCAGTTATTGTTTAGATGAACTCTGTGTTAGATGGATAAGGTGGAAGTGACCTTCTTTACTGAACACATTACTGTCATTAAACTTAAACATAATTAATCATTACTATTCTCAAAGCATAATAATTCATTTCATGTAATTAAAATACCTTTATACTGAACCAAGTGATCATTTATGATGGTTATAATAAACAGTAATAAAATCAAAGAGTTTATTAATATTATTATTTAATTATCATGGTGAGCTTGAGATGTCCTTCTTCTGGGACGGAACAGCAGCAGATAGTGGACGATATTCCGCAGACATCATGGCTCCTTGGTTAATCTGTGGATTTAAAAGTACCGTTTGACCCAGCTTGATCCAGCTGGGTAAATGTGACCTCTGCCACAAATGAGAGAACCTTCATCACGCTACACAGCACACCCGCGTGAAAGAGCTTTTGATATCAGTGGTTTTGGTTAAAAAAAAAGGTTTTATGGAATAAAATAAAGTGGTTTAGTTAACAGCAAATGCCTACATGGGTAAATTACTTTGGTTCATGTTATTGACACGTGCATTTACATTCCCTTGAATAAAAATAAAACATTTCTACTGTTGAGTTAAAACTGAACAATTGGAGGTGATAGTGCTCAACCGCCACAGAGAACTACATCCCCCAGAAAGCACCAGCAAAATGGCCACCGATTGGTGATGAAAAACACCTGGAGGTGGGGGTTCAATCCTCAAACAGGAAGAGCACAGCAAGCTCTGCTCATGAACTTTACTCTGAAGACGCCAATGGTTTGTAAATATTTCTGGTTTATGTTAGTGTTTAAGTTGTACTTGGAGAGTACTCTGTTTAAGTGTCAGAGTAAGTTGAAGCACTTTACAGTTAATTCTTTCATTTAAATTAAAATGGTTAATTTATCTGAAATGTTGTTCGTTGTTCATTTATTTTTTATTTTAAATTATTTATTTACAAAATATTGTTGCTAACCTTTGTTTCGGTGCTTTGAAGGTTATCAACATGATGAAATCATGCATTGATCAAATTGAAACCAACAAATCTCAGAGTTGAAAAATAAAAGTTGATGAAAAGCAGAATCAAGAGTTGTCCCTTTGGAGTAGAACTAGTGTGGAGCTCAACATCTACAAAACCTTTTAAGAAACCCTATAATTTAATTTCAATGAATAAAAACGAGACATTAAAATAGACAAGTATTCACCTAAAGCGGGCCTAATTTACAATACTTGCTGTGTTTGAGATCTTGAGACACAAAGATGAGTCTGATCTGGCCACATCGTCCCTCCTCCATCCCTTTACTTTATCAATCCTTTGTTCTTAATGTCACACACAGAGTGTGAATCAGCAGGTGTGTGCGCGAGAGCACTGCTGTGTGTTATTTGGGGGAGGGGATGGGTGGCATCATTGTTGTCATGGAAACCAGGGATTGAGGGAATGGACAGTAATTTGGCTGGTATCCTTGGCAACAGGTAACAAATAAAAAAAAAGACAGCACGGTTTAAAAAACGTGATAATGGAGATAAAGGAAGTTTGAATTGTTTCATTTGGGTGAATTTTAAAACCTAGATGGTTTATTTTTGTGCGTCAGATGGGGGGGTGGGGAGGGGGGGTTGGGGTAGGCGGTCCAGGTAAGAGCCCGATCGGGATTGGGATTGAACATGAGTTCCAGCCTAACCACGCTGGCTGGAGGGAGGACGGATCGTGCCGCAGAGGAAATCCAAATTCTAGGCGGGTCCACGTCCGGCAGCATCAGGTTGTGGCGTGGTGATGCAAGGAGGAGCTGCACGCGCGGGTCATGATCATGCAGGTTCCTCCTCAGTCCGGATTTAAAGTGCGCAAACTAGTGGGTTTCGTTTATGGGAGCCTAAGATCCGTGCACCCCTCAGAGGGACTCGATGAGGAGGATGTCACCAGAACAGCTGTTTCATTCCAGCGGATGAGTGAACTCCAGGAGAAAAGGAGGAGGAGGCTCGGATTCTCCCCGGCTGCTGACCTCCCGCTCTGGGGTACGAATCCTCCCACCGCCCAGCGTCTCCACCCCGAATCCGAACCGAGCACTACCGATGCGTCCGGTGGTCCCTGATGCTCGGCGGTGTTCCGGGGCTTTCCGGTCGGTGGGAGAAGCTCTTGCCGTGGTCCCGAGCTAGGATGCTGCGCCAGGTGTTGCACGCGGGACTCCGAACCTGTTTCCACGCGCTCGGTCGGTTCGTGGCCAGCCACCCGGTGTTCTTCGCCTCGGCGCCCGTGTTGCTCTCCATCCTGTTGGGGGCCAGCTTCAGCCGGTACCGCGTGGAGGGGAACGTGGCGAGCCTGCTGGCCCCCAAACACAGCCTGGCCAAGATCGAAGGGAACCTGGTGGAGAGTCTGTTCCCCGTGAACCGATCCAAGCACGCGCTCTACTCCGACCTGCAAACCCCGGGCCGATACGGGCGCGTGATCATCACAGCCCAAAAGGGGAGCGTGCTGGACCCGTTTCACCTGGAAACCATTCTGCAGGTACACGCAGGCTGCAAACTCTTGACTTTATTCACGAGTTTGGAGAAAGTTTAGGACTGGGACAAGTTTGCTTTTTAATCTGAATAAAAGCGTCATGATGGGAAAAATGAAAACAAGAAAATTTAAATATATAACTAGAATATTAAGTTATACCGCGATAATAATCAGAAATGTGCTTGTTTATATTGATTAATCGAAATAATGTGATGAGGATGAAACATCTGAGACTGCAACATACAGAGCTTCATCAAATTAAAATGTTTACAATCTATAAATAAAATCTTAATATTTCAAACAAAATCAGGTCAATATCAGTTCGGTGATGATCAGCTGATTTGAACATAAAAGATTAAATTTGTTAAAATTTGGGTTAAGTAATTCAGTAATAACGAAGCAATTAAAAACACTTTTCTGGTCCATGAACGCACCATCACTAAACAATAATCCATGCAAGCAATAGACTTAGTCACACACAAAAACGTGTCTGGTGATCAGAATTGGCAGGTATGAATGCCAAATGTTTGGTTTTTGTGCAGCACCACTAGTCAAATTAGCTGATGACAAATAATCAGCACAACTGGCTTAATTGCTGGTTGGCTAATAGGAAACACATTTTTCACGGGGCCTGGGAACACACCACGTCCATTTTGACTAAGCAGAAAAAAATCATTTAAAATCAGAAAAGGGTAGAATGCCTTCTCAGGGTCAGGGATGAGGTCCTGCCTTAAGTGGAGGAGTTTAAGTATCTCGGGGTCTTGTTCACGAGTGAGGGAAAACTGGAGCGTGAGATCGATAGGCGGATTGGTGCTGCATCTGCAGTGATGCGGGCGTTGTACCGGTCTGTCGTGGTGAAGAGAGAGCTGAGCCGGAAGGCAAAGCTCTCGATTTACCGGTCAATCTAATTTCCTACCCTCACCTATGGTCATGAGCTTTGGGTAGTGACCGAAAGAACGAGATTACGGATCCAAGCATCCGAAATGTGTTTTCTCCGTAGAGTGGCTGGGCTCTCCCTTAGAGATAGGGTGAGAAGCTCTGTCATCTGGGAGGGGCTCGGAGTAGACCCGCTGCTCCTCCACATCGAGAGGAACCAGTTGAGGTGGCTCAGGCATCTGGTCAGGATGCCTCCTGGACACCTCCCTGGTGAGGTTTTCTGGGCACGTCCAACCGGGAGGAGACCCAAGGGTAGACCCAGGACACGTTGGAGGTACTATGTTTCTCACCTGGCCACGGAACGCCTTAGGATTCCCCCGAAAGAGCTGGCCCAAGTGGCTGGGAAGAGGGAAGTCTGGGCGTCTCGGTTTAGGCTGCTCCCCCACGACCCGACTCTGGATAAGCGGATGAAAATGGATGGATGGGTCATTTAAAATCTTATTAGGTTTTCATTATGACAGATCGTCCATGAGTTTAAGTTTTCCTCCAGATAGATGATTTGTCAGGCTAATCAGACATGTTACTTTTAGATCTTTTGGATGAATCGGTCTTGGTGCATTTCAACTCCTATGTGAAAGTTTTTACTCCACAAATCATCTATTTCAAGTTCAACTGGGAAAAAAAGACTTATTAAGATGTGATGAAGCCCAGAAACATCTAAGCAGGTTCAGCCTCTTGTCTGCAACCAGTTCTGTTTCTGAATACAAATCTCGTCTCTTTGCTATCGTAAACATGCAAAGAGATGAAGGACAAGTTCTTAGGTCAGTGTAGGTGCAGACTGTCTCCACAGAGTCACAAAACATCCCTGCCTTCAGTCAGATTGGTTAGCATCTAGAGCAAGCAGCTGAAAGATTTGCTGACTAACAGGCCAGCTAGATATGCTGGATTGAGTTTCTCTCCCTCTCTTGTTTGAAGACTTCTTTTGTGGCCCACTTCCAGTGTGAGAGGACAGAGTTTGGACAGAGAATAGCTAAAACTGGAGTCAGACTGTTTTTAGGGCTGTGCATCATTTTCCAGTAACAGGCTGCAAAGAGACAAATAGATTTGCTGCTGAAAGAGAGTCTAAAAAGATTACCGTTACATAATCTGATGCTCTCTGCAAGGATTCTGTAATTGTTGTCTTCGTGCCTCAGCTTTCACAGCTTGCTGTCACTGTGTGTGTGTGTTCTAGCGTTTCCCTCCCAGCCTTTTATCATCACTCTGACACTGAACTTGTTTCGTGTTGCACGCCAGAAAGTGATGTCAGTGTTGGCGAGGAGAAAAACGACTAGACGAGATTTTTTAAGAGCTGTGACTCTTGCCCATTTGGTGGTTCATAAATTACCACAGGGTTAAAAAATTCTTGTTTTTAAAGCAGACGTTCGCTAAGAAAAGAACTGTTCAAATTTCACAAGCTGAATGTGAAAACAATCCTCTACCCCCGTTACCTGGATTAGCCGCTGAGAGAACATAGACAGGCCCGAAAAAGCCAGTCACAGGGAAACATTTGCAGTCATGGATTCACCCACCTTGACCTGCGACCAGAGAAGGCTGTCTTGATTTTGCCGACAGAAGCAGATCTCTGCTGGTAGATGCTAATCATTAGCAAAAGCAACTCCACAACAACTCATTCAGGCATGTGTTGTTTGTAGCGATCCCATCCATGTTGAATTTTTGACCTAAGAAAGAAGAGTGAACGGAGGCAGCAGAAGAGTCACATTGCTGTTAGCCAATCAGAGTCGGGATGTTCAAACATCGTGAATGTTATGGAGTACAGATTTACTGATGCTGGGTTCAAATCCACGGTTGGTCGAAGACCTGTAAAATGGGACCCAACGCCTCCCCACTTGACACTCGGCATGAAGGGGTTTGATTGGAGGGTTAAACCACCACATGGTTCCCAAGCGCAGCCGTGACTGCAGCTAACCACCCCCAAGGGCATGGGTCAAATGTGAACAAATTTCCTGGGGATGGGGGCAGTACTTGTGTACATTTCAGGGTAGTTTTACACCATATCGCCGTGACTGCCACTAGTTTTAAAAAACATTAACGTAAATGTTACCTGTGGAGCAGAAAACACGCAACATCAACGTGACTCCTCAGACTTGATGCTCCATCGAGAGAATACAAGGCCGATTGTTGTTTTCCGGCACTGCAGTTTCCAGATCTGCTCTGTGTCCTGCACCTGCTCATGACATCATCATACTACGCCAATACCGCTCAGCCAAAATATATTGCATGTCTTTTAGGATTCTGTCCTTTCACATATGTTTTGGAAATAGTTATGCAGTTTTGTTATTAACTCGTTCACTGCCAATGACGACCAAAGTCGTCATTTGCATGTTTTTACTGTGTGGGCATCGGAACGAACCCCCGCATACGATCTTCATCCGCATACGTCACACATCACGTGATCAGGAAGCAGAACATCCATGTGTTCGGAGATCGTTTTGGGCCGCTGCTGTAAAAAAAAAGTGAGGCGCGAACTGGAAAAGTTTCTGCCGATCACAATTCAACAACGGACTATGAAAGCACGGATAACGCTCGAAACGGGCGAATTCTTCCTGATGTAAGAGGTGAGTCTCCACTTTGTTTTGGTTGTTTTGGCGTTGACATCATCCTAGCGCGCAACGTTCTGTCACTCTTAAAAAAACAGTAAAAAGGGTGAGAAACGCTGGCAGCGAAGGCCTTTACCAATCAGGAAACGGCCGGCAGTGAATGAGTTAAATTCGTGTTTCTTGCTGCCTAAATATTTTTGAACATAGTAACGTAATTCCATAAGTCCTACATTCAGCCAATCATCTAGCGTGACTTCATTGACAGGCAGAGGACCCCGAGCCGGCCAGAAGGAAACATGGCGTCCCCCACAGACTCTAGACCCACGCCCTATATGCACTTTAGACCTGAGTTTTATGGTCATGTTACGAAGCTGTCAACATTTTTCAACAAATAGACATCATGTTATTCATTATCCACAATGTTTCAATGGATATTTCCAGAGATTAACAGCAAAAACTACACATTGTCTCTTTAACGGTGTGGAAGGAACAAAACATTTGTCATGTAAAACTGAATTTTTAGTGTTTTATATTTATGTATTTAGCAGACGCTTTACACGTTTTACATACAAAAGAATAAGGTCCCTAGAGGCATGTACAGGGTAACAATAAGGCATATATAAAGGGTACGGAGACGGCTCGTGCATACTGGGGTATATGGGAAGGTGATAAATCTTCATCATGACTGCTATATTTTCATTTGATGAACAGAGGCCAGAGCTAGCCCTTGGTATGGATGAGTCATGCAGTTGTCTGCTTAGAAAGTGAAGTTTGACACTTCTAGTTGATTTTAGGAGTCAGTGCCTATGAAAACGGCGGAGCTTTCTACTGCAGCTGGACTCATACTGGTGACTAAAGTCACTCTTATCACACATTTAGACATGAGGTCATGTATTAGGTGTGTCAATACTCGGGTATACTACCATCTCTTAGATCTTCACATCTTAAAACAAGGGCTTATTTTTTGACAAGATTTGTTGCCGTTTGCTGTTAAACTGTCACCGAGGTTGTTGCTTAGTAACCAGAATAGTTGATGCTGGCACTGTTGTCTCGTTTTGGAAACCAGATAAAGTGCTGAGACGGCTATTCTTACTCTGTTAACACCCTCCCTCACACGTCTCACTAATACCAGAACAGTTGGTGAACGCTTTAAACTCTTTGCTCTTCCTCCTGTCGGTTCCTCTCGTAGCTGCACCAAAGAATCTACCAGATGCAGGTGACGGTACCAGCGGCTGGCTTCAACAGCTTCAACTACTCCTTCTCCTACCTCTGTCTCCCTGACGACAAGAATGTCTGCATCATCGATGACATTATTCGTGCCATGGAGGAAATCCAGCTGGCCCGAGCCTCTAACCGAACCATTTCGGTCCTCCGATATCCAATCACACAACTAGCAGATGGGCGGAAGGCGTACATCGGCCACCAGCTGGGTGGCGTTCAGGGTTGGGGCTCCAACGGAGCGGTGCGAGTCCAGGGGACTGGAGCTAAAGTAGAAGTTGTCCGTTCTGCCAGAGCAGTGCAGCTCACCTACTACCTCCAGTCCCGCAGTGGCCTAATGGACAGAGTTGCCAGCCAATGGGAAAGAGCCTTCTGTGCCGAGCTCAAAGACTTTGGAGGTTTGCATCCAAAACTGAGTCTTTACCCCTCCACCTCATCCTCCCTAAGGACAGACTTCCAGTTCTCCTCTGTGCTGGCACGGCGCCCCCTGTTGGCCAGCGTGGGAGTGTGCGGGGTGCTGGCCATCTTCTGCTGCTCCATGAGGGACTGTGTGAGGTCCAAGCCCTGGTTGGGACTGCTGGCTCTGCTGTCAGTCACGCTGTCGGGTCTTACTGCTGCTGGGATTCTAAACCTGACCGGGGCCACCTACAACTCCACGTACCTGGGCATCCCGTTCGTCATGCTTGGTGAGTCAAACATCTTAGTGTTTAATATCTAAAGAACATCTTACTTTGTGAGAAATAGGACTGCGAATTGAAGAGTCGCCACAACAACACCTAAAACACCTAGACATGAGAGGAAATTAGCGATATTACATGACAGGCGGGAAGCAACACCACCTCTGCTTTAATTCTCTCATCTCACATCACTTTGGAGATGGCTCAGGCTGAAAGACGTTTCTCAGCAGACAGACGATCAAAATGACTGACAAGCAGCAGAGCAGGAACTTACTGAGGGGGTGGAGGACGGCACAAACGACACATTTTCTGACCCGAGGCAAAAATCAGAACCTAAGTAGAGGTTCCAAAACTTTAAGCCTCAAAGTTGGACAAGTTCACGTGGAGTCTGGAGCATATCCAGAGCAGAGAACAGGAAGTTTCACACATTTACATTTAATCTCACACCATTGCAAATCTATGGCGGCATAATCAGGCCGATTGGGGGGGATGAGGATGAAAGATGGGATAACAATAACTATATCAACACTGGTCCATAGATTTAGGTTGACACTTAAAGTGGGGTAATCAAACAAAAATCGTTATCATCCATCCATCCATCCATCCATCCATCCATCCATCCGAGGAATGGGTTTATTCTAGAGGGTTTTTTCAACATTTTTACCCAAAATTCAACCATTTTCCCAACATGTTGATGTTTCCAAAAGTAATTTTAGATTGTTTTTCTTGACATTTCAACGTCAAATTCTGGCTTTTTACAAAATATTTTTTTCATTTATATTTAAATATAAATGAGTGGGTGAGTCACATCTGGATAACTTCTGGTACTAGCAGACAACTAAAATATTACCATGATGGTGTTTGTTTGTTTATTTGTTTATTATTTTAGGAACCCCATTAGCTGCAGCGAGCTGCTGCTATTCTTCATGGGGACCTATTTATACAACTTCAAATACAATGTTTACATCAAATAGATAAAAAGACAAAAAAAAAAAAATAAATAAAATATAAAAACACGAAAAATACAGAAACAAGTCCACCCTACCAAATCAACAGTGATGACCATAACAGATATAGTTTTACCATCCCAAGGCTTCCATTATATTATACACGTATCTTCATACTATATCATAACATAATTAACCCTTTAAAAAATAATATTAAAATAAAAATTTCCCTTTCTACATAAAACATAAATGTTCTTTTAATCAAATTTTACATACGTTTTTATCCCTAATATGTGAGATTTCTTTTGGGAGACGATTCCACTCGCACATCCCTCTATACCAGGGGTGTCCAACTCATTTTAGCTCAGGGGCCACATTGAGGGAAATCTAGTCCCAAATGGGCCGGACCGGTAAATTAAAAACAACTTCAGATTGTTTACTTTGTTTTAATACAATCAATATAAAACAAGGCTGGAGCCTGAGGACAGTGTATCCAAAATAGTACAAGTACAACACCTGAAGTGTACTTGAAAATTAGAAAAAAAAACTCAACAAATAAAAAAAATTCCTTAGTGATTCAAAGAGCTTACAGATCACATGGCAAGATCAATTTCATGCAGCACTTAAAGTGTATTTGACTCATTTTACTTAACATCTTTTAGCTTTCACCAGTGCATCAATATCAGAAGTCACATCCAGAGTGGCGGCCATCTTCAGGATGTGATTCAAGTTCTTGTGTGAGCCTTGAGTGCAGCTTTGTTTTATTTATACTCATTACAGAGAAAACTTGCTCACACTGATAAGTTTATTTTCACTCTACATTGTAAAGTATGAAAATAAAGTTTACACAACCATCTCGCGGGCCAGATTTAACCCGCTTGTGGGCCGGATCCGGCCCGCGGGCCGCATATTTGACACCCCTGCTCTATACATTGCTGTGTCAAACATGTTGTGGAGAAAATTTTCACTTGGTTTGAGGAAATAACTTTTTGTTCTTCTGCAATAATTCCCTAAAGAAAGAAAAAAATTATACGTATATCTCAGCAGTGTAAGATCCCTCTGCTGAAGCTGTTGCCAAATCCTTTTGTTTGTGCAGCATGTGGAAAAGCTGCAGTAAAGCCGTATCTGTGTCATCTCTGTGTCTTAGTTCTGTTGAAAGCTAAACTAACTTGGGGAAATAGTTATTTTTATTTTTGGTGCAAAGAGGAAACACGATAGGCTCTAGAGAATATGTACAAGTTGGAGAGACGATGCTGAGGCTATGAATAACTGCAGAAGTAAAAATAAGAAAAGCCGAGAAAGAGAAGGAAACAGGGTTTCTATTAAATATGGCTCTGAGTGCAGTTTGAGACGTGGATCAGCTGAACAGTAAATGAAGTTAAAATGCAGTTAGAAGCCGGAAACCTTGGACAGAGGAGGAAGATGCAAGCAGGAAAACCATGAGAAGGATGAGTTTTTATAAATGACCTTTGTGGAATTGGGTTCACTCTGAAACTTAATTAGTATTTCATAAACATCCAATGCAGAGATTTTTATTAATACATCCTGTGGCTGATGATATAATACCGTAAATCCTCTAATATTAGCCTGTATTTAATTAACTGCCGGGTGTCATATTTTGGTCGGTGTCGGAGTCGGCGGAGGTGAATAATGGCCGTTTTTTTATTGTGGCCGGGTGGAATGTGGTAACAGGGAAGTACCACAGGGGGGCGGTTGTGTCATCCGTCTCACTTTTGATTTGCCAGTGACAGACCGTGAGGGTAACTTTAACCGTGCGGAGACGAAGAGGAGGCGAAAATTTGATATCAAGTTCAAAGAGAACGTGCTGATTATGCTGCAGAACACTCTGGGGAGCAGTAGCAGGGGTTGTATGAACTAGTCACTAGTCGACTTCACCGCTCTATAGTGACTTTTTATGCCTGTCATCACTAGTCGCTGTCATGTGATAATGACCGGCAAGATGCAGCCCTCGGAAAAGACAGCAGCCTGCTGTCAGCAGGTGACAAGCTCCTGCGCATTGGGGGGGGGGGAGGACGCGCTGTGCCAGAGCGTCGGTACTGACACCCGCCGTAAAACGGACATTTAACCAAATTGTGACGTTTACCCTCTTGCAATTTAACCTTCCCCTCACCCCCATCCTAACCTTAACCAGCTTGCAGTTTTTCTTTAGGACTGAGAGGAGATGCAGGAAGATAATAAACAGGCAGGACAGAAAAATAGTAAAATAAAAACAAGCTAGTTTTTGTACCTGGTGGTTGCAACAAACTACGGAGCCCCTAAAGGGACATGGAGGTTTTGCGAGCTCTCCCATTAGTTTTTTCCCCTCCCATGTCCCTTTAGGGGCTCTGTAACAAACAGACACCACTGAAGGTAATCAGAAGTGAGGAACAGAAAATGAAATAATTATTTTAATGTTTAGAGCAGCAGGAGCTCCGAGAGGCTGCAGGCGCATCAGTGAGTTTGCGGCCGCTTTGCAGGGGGAGGGGGGAGAGGGCTGAAGCAAAAACTACCATTGTTAAAAGAAATGTGTTTAACTTTGAAAATGTGGGCACAAGTTTAATTGTCAAAAACTCCAGCGAACCATTGGTTCATTTTGCTCACATAGAAATTGAGGCCTGCCTCTAATTCTGGCCCTCCTTCCAATAAAGGCCTGGAGCTTGATGAGCTTGAGTCAAATACCCGGGCCTGTATTAGAGGATTTACGGTAAACCAGAATTAACTGTTAATGGCAATGTTTAAACAAAGATCCTGTGTGATTGAGAAGACTCTTGGGTACTATGCATAACCCCACAATGATCCTGTGGTCGATATCAAATATGCTCATGAAGTTTTTTACACTAAATCCCTCTCTCATAAAGCTGTGTCAGAGGTTTAATTTTTAATATTTTCAGCACCTTCCCGAATGAGCCGTTTCAGGGCTCTGTCACATTTTAGAAAACAAGCTGGAGTTGGCCATGCCCTCCCATGCCTTGATCATCTGCTGTTAGTTTAAAAGCTTCAATATCTGGGAGGGGCTCGGAGTAGAGCCCTTGCTCCTCCTGTAGCAGTGTTCTTTTGCACGTTAGTGGTGTTTTTATTCTAATTTCCCCATTTGTGACATCACAAACAGGGACTTTTAAAAACGGCTTCTTTTAGGCACGTTTTCTTGAAACCAAACACTGACAGAAAACCGATTTCTTTTCATGTTTGAAGTGTTTAAAGGCGGTAGAGTCCCACATGGCAGCACACAAGGATGCAAAAGGTGAGTTTTGCCTAATATGTCTCCCCTTTGAGGAAGAACAGGAAGCCTCCTTGTCAGATTCTTGTACAACCTTAGCTGACTCCATTCAATGATGACCAGCAGCTTAGCCTAGCCACTGTTGCTACCAGACCAACACCAAATTCACCAAGACAGAAAACCTTAAAACGTAACTCATTTCTAACAGTTTCTCAGTTCCTGTGCGAGTGTTCGTGTGTCTGGCCGAAGCTGCTAAATCACAGAATCTGTGCCAAGTGCCTCATTCTCTGTCTTTCTGCAGCATTGACCTCCCATGATTGTCACTTTCACACACACACGTCTTCCTAACACACTTCCTCTTCTGCTCCCACGTTGACGTGTCGATACAATGTGCCTTTTCTGAGGTGTTAAGTGGTTCTCCATGTTCAGGTCACTGCAGGGAGAGGGGTGTACGTGTGTCACACGGTGACTCACGGGCGCCATGGCAACCACGGTGGAAAAATCCCCTAAAAAAGCTATCTGCTCTAGACACGTGCGTGCATGTGAGACTGGACATGAGTAGAATATAATATCTGTCTGAATTAAAGCTATAAAATAATTTCTATCTTAATATTTAATTATCAAGTGTTGCTCAGCCTGGGTGTAAAGTTGATCGCATGCACAGCTGCAGCTCCGCTTCACTAATGCAGCTGCTGCATTCCTGTGAAAACTGGTTTTCACGGTGTGCTGCTTCTGTCATTGTATGCATCTCCACTTCAAACACGATTGAGGTGTGAACGTGTGCTGAAGGAGAAAGTTCAAAAGCAGCTATTGTTACCATCTCTGGTCAAAAAGAACATGCTGATGCAACTTAAGTGAAACCGAAACGGCTGAGAGGAACGGATCAGCTGGGAGTCAGCTGGTTTTGATATTTGGTGACTTTGGAGTTGCTTCCACTTCTGCTTTACTTGACCTTTTTAAGCAAAACTCTTAATAAAAAACAAAACTTTTGGTCAAATCCACCAGTTTTCCCTGTTTGAGGAGTCTACCGATACTGTTTCTCTTCTCAACAGGTCATGGCCTCTTTGGCTCCTTTGAGATGCTGTCATCATGGAGGCGAACGCGTGAAGACCAGCACGTTAAAGAGCGAGTGGCAAGCGTCTTTGAAGATGTCATGCTCCGTTTTTCCGGTTCCACCGTGATCCACCTGTTGACGCTTGGCCTGGCCGCCTCTCCGCTCACCAACATGGAAGCTGTCCGACTCTTCTGCCGCAACGCCACCCTCGCCGTGACCATCAGCTATGTTTACATGCTGTCGTTCTATGGCTCGTGTCTGGTGTATACTGGCTACTTGGAGACTCGTTACAGACATGGCTGCTTCTGCAAGCGAGTCCCCAAACAGGACCGGCTGGACTCTAAGCCGGCTTGGTACCGGTGTTTGATGTACACTCGTTACCAGGAAGAGACTCAGTCGGCCAACCCGCCACACGGAGTTGTTCGCACCCAGACGCCAAACTCCAACCAGACTCATGCAGATTTGCATACGATGAACAGCTCTGGCGTCCATGGACATCTGACTAATACCATCATCACCCACCCTCACACTCATTCCACAGCTAGCATGGACCCTCATCCTCAGGACTCACACCTTTTGCTGGGGTGTGTGCGGCGTTGCTATGGAGACTGGATCACCAACACCTATGCCAAGCCATTTGTGGTTCTCCTGTACCTGGTTTACATCTCTTTTGCACTGATGGGGTTCCTCCAGGTGAGAAACAAACTACAGTGATCCCTCGTTTATCGCGGTAGATGCGTTCCAGACCTGGCCGCGATAGGTGAAAATCCGCGAAGTAGGGACACCATATTTACAGTATTTATTTAACAGGTATGTATTCAGTATTCAGACTTTTAAAACCCTCCCTTTACATAGTACTGTATTTTTACTTGTTTTTTTATAGTTTTGTTACAAAAAGTGCATTTTATGATGAAATTAATGAAAAAAAAACAGGAATTTCTTGATATTTCGCATAGAAAAATACCGCGAATCTGCGAATTTCCCTTGAATAAGGCTCCAAAGAAAAAATCCGCGAAGTTGTGAATCCGCGATAAACGAACCGCGAAGTAGCGAGGGATCACTGTAAAGTAAAACTAACAAATACACACCAGAAATGTTTACACATGTCTCTGTTCTGCCAACAGGTGACACAAGGTTCTGACCCCAGCGCACTGGTTGCCATGGATACAGCAACAGTATTGTACACGCGTGCCCAACAGCGTTACTTCAGCTCGTACTCCCCGGTGATCGGGTTCTACATTTATGAAAGCGCCCCCTACTGGAACGCCTCGGTGCAGGGGGACCTGCTGGAATACGCCAAAGGCTTCCAGAGGATCAGCTGGCTGGAGGCCTACCTGAATTATCTGTCAGACCGCAACGAGTCCACCAGCCAGCCTAGGGAGAACTTCACCCACACGCTGCGCCACTCCTTCCTCCGCGAACCACAGTTTGCCCACTTTGAGGATGACATCATATTCGCAGAGCGCGGTCAGGGCGAGGAGCCCGATGTGGCGGCTTCACGCATCTTCCTGGTTGCCAAGACAACGGAGAACAAGCGGGAGGAGATGTCGGTGCTGCTGGACACGTTGCGCCGCCTGTCGCTCACGTCTCGTGTTCGTTTTCTAATCTTCAACCCGTCCTTCGTCTACTTGGACCGCTATGTCACAGCGGTCAGTTCCCCCCTCAGGCACTCACTGCTGGCGGTGCTCTTCCTGTTGGGTCTGTCCTCACTAGCCTTTGTGGAGCCCCTGGTGTCCATGTGGCTGGGTCTCACCCTTCTCTCCGTCCAGTTTGGGGTTCTTGGCTTCATGACATTGTGGGGAGTAGAGATGGACTGCATGTCTGTGCTATGTCTGATCTCAGCTTTGGGTCACTCGGCCACCTGCAGCGGCCCCCTCCTATGTGGCTTCACCTCGGGTCGGGGTGAGAGCAGGACTCGTTGGGTTAGGCTGGCGCTGGAGAGACACGGCGTTCCTTCTCTACAGACGTTCTTGTGCTACGGCGCAGCCCTTGTGCCTGTCGGCTCCGTACGCTCGAACCTCACGGTCACGCTTTTCCGTTGCCTCGCTCTCACGGCCGGCTGCTCGGCCCTGCACACACTGGCCTTCCTCCCCACCCTCCTCACCTTCCTCCCCCCCTCTAAAAGCAGGAGCCACCATCCAGGAAGGGAAGGTCAGAGACAAGAGGTGGAGTGTGTCGAGATGAATGACAGCACCAGAGTAGTGGACCAGATTACCACTGTTTGATGGGGGGTTTATCTTGGCTCCTGTGTTGCTATGGTGACTGCCATCTGGGAACAGGCTCAGCGTGGTCCAAATAGCTTGCTGCTAAAGAGAAAACTGCTACTGGTGAAGCCTGAAAGACAAGGAAAGTATAACACAGAGGCAGGTCCTTGATGCAACGGAACCACGGTTTCCTGCTTGATCCTAATGCGCTGTGGCATGTAAATGACTTTTCTCCCCCCACAGACACTCACTGGTGTGAGAATGAGTCTGAATGTGATCACAGAGAAGGCGCAATAGCTTTCACTTTCTAAAACTATACATCAGTAGCCTGGCCTGCCAGACTCCTCCTCTGTTTAATTCGGCACAGAGAGGGTCCGGTAACTCTCCTATTCAAATAACCCCACCCCGTGGGAATTCTAACCGAGCCAATCAGCACTGAGTATCGTACGTCACACACCACAACGCCGAGTTTGCCAAGCATGACGACTGAAGTGGAGTTCCCTGCGGCTCTTTCCTCTGGTCTGAATGACTTGGACACAACAAGTAGAAGCGCTAAAAGCCGTTCTTCTAAAGATGTTTGCGCTGTCGCCATACTCCGTTTTTACTACAGCTAAAAAACTACAGCGTCGCGGACGTCACACACAGCCATGGACGTTATTTTCACTTTAGAAGTGGGGGTGGGGGGTCACGTTGGGGGGGTGGGGGTGGGGGGGGGTCTTTACAGTTTGCTCTAATGGGAAACAGGCTTCAACAGAAACGGTTGTTTTCTGCTTGGTCCTAGAGCTAAACCAGTGCCAATTTAATATGAAGTAATATTGTTTTTGGATGGTAAAAAGTGCAGGGGTCAAAACTTGACTTTGGAAAAAGTGGGGGGGACATGTCCCCCCCCCCCCCCCCAAATTACGTCCATGCACACAGCGACGCTCCGTTTCTCATAAACAACAAAGACAGCAGTAGAGTTCACTGCGGCTCTTTCCTCTGTTCTAAGTGACTCAAATGTCTTTAAAACAACAAGTACAAGCGCTAAAAGGGTTTCTTAAAAAAATTAGATATTTTCGCCGTTGCCAGATGTCTTTTTTTTTTTACTACAACTAGAAATCGACAGCGTCTTGCGGTACAGTCGGGAGTTCCGTCTTTTTTCTGATTGGCTATTTTTGAGCTGGCTAGTCCCGCCTCTCATGGTGCTCTTTGTAGTGATGTGTCGGTCGCAAACGAACCGGCTCTAAGAGCCGGCTCTTTGAAGTGAACGACGGGAGCCGGCTCGTCATTGGGAGCCGTCCCCTCCCCTCCCCCCTCCCCCCTGCCTTGGTGAAAGCTACAGGCGATTGGTCAGCATGTGTAACTGCGTGTCCAGACTGTCCACACACAGAGCAGTAGGGGCGGGGAAGAGGGAGGATCAGACTCGGACACACAGCAGAGCACATGCGGGAGGAGGGAGACGAGAGGGAATGAGGAGGAGGAAAAAGGCGAGCGAGAGGGAGGAGAGTGCGACGAAGACGGTGAGAAAATGAACGCCAGCAGTTGGAAAGTGGAGATTTCTTAAAGTGTTCAGTTATTAAATCCATAGAAATGATAAATATTTGATATATTGCTTTTTTTATATTAGTAAATTATTTTACATATAGTTTAGCATTATTTTGGTTATAAATGTACTCTACGCAACAGAAAATCTGAGGAGCCACTTGGGAGCCGAAAGAGCCGGCTGTTTTTGGTGAGCTGAGCCAAAAGAACCGGCTCTCTAAAAAGAGCCGTAATTCCCATCTCTAGCTGTTTGCAGAGAGTTACCAGACTCTTTCTCTGTGCAGAATTAAACACCGAGGACGCGTCTGGCAGGCCAGGCTAATAAATCAGATCACTTAGTTTGCCCCCTGCTGTCCGTTAGCTGCATTACGTTGCACCGTTTCAGCGACGGTGACACGAGGCGATCAAATGTATGAACTGAGTGTTTCTACTTTAACGCTGGGTAAATAAAGTCAGAATGAGAGAACGAGGTGTGCAGTATTTGTTGACAGTTTTGAGACTTTTAGCAAATCCATTCTTGTAGCAGTATTGCTGCATTCAGACAAATCGGTCTGAAAGACCGACGTGCTTGAGCGTGCACTGGTTTGGGTGTGTTTATCAAAACCAACACTCAACTTCAGATTGATTTGCTGTCATTCAATAGCTTGTCAGAAACCACCTGAAGAAACGTTTAAGTCAAGGTTCAGAGGTTAGAAGAAAAAAGCTTTGAGATGCGGTGATGTCTGCCTGAAGGAAGGAGGGTCTACGCTTCAAGGCATTTTTCTTCTCAACCAAGAAGCTTTGTTTCAACGTCTGAAACAGCAGACTCCTGAATAATCAGTAAAGGTCAGGTCAGTGAGATGAAAGATAAAACACAAAATGACGTGTCCTCTCATATCATCATTGTACTTGAACACAACATGACAGCTGTGATGAATGAAGAGTCGCGTTTGTCCTTCAGTTCTAATGATTCCGGAGCCAACTGGTGTTCAGGAGATGATGCCAGCACTTATGCTTGAGTTCCTTTTGTTTTTTTTTAGTGCTCAGTTTCACGTGTCTGTGAATGAAAAGCACCGTCCTCTGTCAACTTCCTGTAATTTTCACCATGGAAGGAACACATTTTGATGCTTTTTTTTACACAAATGCGTTCAGAGCGATGGTTCAGAGTCAAAGTTACGTGCATGGGGGTCCGTGCTATTGTTAATGCTAGGTGCTTTTGGACGCTTGCCTGAATAAAAGTGTTGCTCGGCTTCTGTACAGGCGCCACAGCCTGCAGCACAAAACAGACATGAGCTTTCCACCCGCCAGTGCTGCCAGTTGGCCTTTTGATGACCACAAACTGAGAGTGTGAATAGAGCTCCATCTTTAATAAAATAACGTATGTTCATCATCAATGAAGAACTTTCAACAATCACAGGAATAACCAAAGTGCTGGAAAAAATAACAGATATAAGAGTACAGGTTAAAGCAAAAAAGCAGAGTTTTTTTTTCTCAGATGGCACAAATAGGTGGTCATGTTATGCTGTTTATTCTTATACATTTTAAAGTAACACTAGATGTTTATTTTTTTTTTACTAGAGCTTTAACATTGATCAGAGTTAGAAACTTGACCAGTTTCATATTTGGCACCACTCTGCTGACCAAAAACCACACTTAATAGTTTTGTGGAGTGGATAGGTGTCCTATAGGGGGCGCTCTTTATCTGCTTTACAGCTGTTAGTTGTGATGCTAGCAGTGGAGCCTGGAAGTAAAAGTAAATGAGTAACCCCGGCTTTCCACAGGAGCCGTCAGCAGCACGTTACTGCAGCAGCATGTCATAGCTGCTGATAGGAACCGCTGTGGTCAGCAGAACCTTTTCCACTGGAGCCGTCAGCAGCGCGAGTCGGCCGTGTCTGAGGAGCAGCATGTCGCGGCCTTTACGCGCCGGTTCTATTTTCTACGCGCGACGCCTCTGAAACGGGTCAATTTAGACATGTTTGGGGAAGGAAAGACAGGAAATCGGACGCGGAAATGGAGAGAAGCACCCGAGATTTTCAGAATAAAGAACGTACTGCCTTCCGGTTGCTTTACTTTTAAAAAAGTTACTAACTGTGCGGCCCCATGAGAAGTTATCACCTAGCTAGCGGTCTCCTTTGTTTTTCAGGTCCGTATTGGCCATTATAAAACGGACAGAACATAAAACACAAACCATGTTGTAGTTTTCTCCTGCTTGTTGTTGTGTTTACTGACGAAGTCACTCGCGTGACTTCGTGCTCTGTCGGTGACAGCTGCTCCCCTGCTGCTTCGTGTCTCGTGGGAAGGGCCAAGCAGCAGCTTACGCGAGCAAGAAGTGCTGCTGCAGTAACGTGCTGCTGACGGCTCCCGTGGAAACCCGGGGTAATGCCGTTGGAGGTGAAGCAAAGTCCTAAAACCAGAGTGAAAATTGACGTGGCCTACGCTAGTCTGAGGGAGCTAAAGGAGGCTACAAAATCAAGGACTGATGGTGACCTGGCTTTGTTGTTACTGAAATTGTAAGACACATTTTTTGTTAAACAGTGTGGCTCTTTTTACTTTTTGGTTTATTTTTAGTATCCGTTAGCTCATTGTTAGCTCTAGCTACAACAGGCTACAGTACTTGAGACAGTTCACCACACCTTCATCTCCTCACGCTTAGACTACTGTAACTCTCTTTTCACGTGTCTGAGCAGAACCTCCCTGAACCGTCTACAGGTGGTTCAGAACGCCTGTGCTCGGCTTCTGACCAAGTCCTCCAAACACACCCACATCACCCCGCTTCTCCTCCAGCTTCACTGGCTGCCAGTCAACTTCAGGGTTCATTTCAAGATCCTGGTTCTGGTCTATAGGGCCTTACATGGACAAGCACCATCTTACATTGGTGATCTTCTTAGTCCCTACACCCCCAGCAGGTCCCTGAGGTCCAGTGATCAAAGCCTACTGGTTGTGCAGCACCAGGCTAAAGACCAAAGGTGACAGATCATCTGCTGCTGTGGCCCCCAGACTCTGGAACTCTCTCCCCCTGAGCCTGAGATCAGTGGACTCAGTGGTCTCCTTTAAAAAGCAGCTGAAGACTCACCTGTTCAAGCTGGCTTTTGTATGACCTTCTTCACCACCCTCTCTTTATTCTGCTCTCCCCACCTATTCCACCTTCCTCATGATCCACTGATTTCCCTCTTTCCTATTCTCTCTCTTTCTTAACATTTTTAAAATCAAAATTGTCTATTTTTGCACATTTTAAATATATTTTTAAACATTTTCTAAATGCTTTTTATATTTTTACATTTTTTGTTTTTGTGAAGCGCCTCGCGATTTTTATCTTGAGAGGCGCTATAGAAATATTTTCTTCTACAGTAGGGTATTTACGGCAGCTGTAATTCCACTTTCAACCAGTAGGACGGAGGAGCAGGGAACTGTTTAGTGTTACTCTAAAGCAGTGGTTATCAAAAAGTGGGGTGCAACTCCCTGGGGGTGCGAGAGAAACATCAGGTTTCTTTTGATTAACTTGGTTTAGTGATTCTGAGCTTCAACTGTCCCAACAAAGCAAGATGAACAGATTAAATTGATAAATGGATTCTTGTAGAGTTTGTATACTTGACGAGTCCCTATGACCACTAATTTTTTAGGTCTGCAGCTGAAAATGCTCGGAACCACCGGGCTAGTAGGAATAATGTCACTGGATTTAAACACGATAACAGTGAATTCGTACAAAACCTGCAGAGATTCATTCCTAGAGGTTCCCAGAACACACGCAGGCAGCACTGAGCATCATAAACGATAACCCAGTGCCTCACATCCTCTCCTGGGTGCATGTCTGCTGATTAAATGGAGCAATGGGAGAAAACAGTATGGTTTAACACAGTGGTACTCAACCTTTTTTGACTGATGTACCCCCTTTGAAATATTTTTTTCAGCCGAGTACCCCCTAATGAGCGCAAAAGCATTGGGGGGAGGACTCTGGGATTTTGGGATAATGAATTTAGCCTACTTCTACTAAATATAAAACACATTTTATGAACTTTTACTTATATTTTCCTAAAATATTTATTAAATAATTATTTTTTTTAAGATTTTCCAGGGATACTGTTTTTTTAAATGAATGTACATTTTCTCACGTACCCCCGGAGTTTCTTTACGTACCCCCAGGGGTACGCGTACCCCCATTTGAGAAAGGCTGGTGTAACA